CCGGAGAACATTCCCAACTCCAATTACCAGTTGGTACCAGAACCCCCTAATGAGTTTAGGGACTACTTCTAAGGGCTAACTGAGAACTTGTTAGTAGATTTTGTTCCGACCGTACACCATCATTTTTCTTTCCCTCTTAATCCCCTTTATCGGTAAAGGACAGGGCTTAAAGCAAAAATCAAAAAGCTAAGTATCGAGTATTTTTCTTGGAACATGCAAAAAGGAGACGCGGACTGGGAAGGAAGTGAACGAAATGGGAGACCAGTGGATCGGAAGTCCCTACCACTTTAACGACGAACTTCCTAGCATGCCTGGATCGTGAAGGTCTCATCTAGCAAAACGATTTACCCGACCCGTTACCCTAATACACTGATAAGGCCCCCATAGGCTAACTTTAATAGGGGTATACCCTGCTATAAGTCATGCCTCCTTTTTTTCAATGGTGATCGTTAGTCGTTTGAAACCGATTTCACATAGACACCTAGGTTCATGAGCACCTAGGTCAGTGTAGACTTTTTCTGATGAATCCTTTAAGTCCGACGAAGGAATGGCATGCTGGCCGTAACCAATCTTGCGAACCAAAGGAAGGCATTAGCTGATTGTTGGTTTTTTTTATCGTAATCGGATCGTCTGACTACGTAGCTGAAGTAGCTGACGAGATTCGTGGAATACCTAGATGAAATGAGTCCATAGAGACAGATCGACATGCAGATTATCTGCTCTTCAGAGTGCTAGCCATCTAGCAGTTTTTTGCAATAACATAGCACTTATCATAGCTGAATGGCTTCAGAACTATACACCCATAAGACTTAAGAGGTTCCAAGAATCCTGAAATTCTGTCATTTTCAGCGGAATGCACTCATTCCTGAAAATGAAACTCAACTAAATTAACTGACACAAAGGGGCTGAAGGGGCTGGCTAGAAGCTTATAGCATGCGACCACATGAGCCTCACGTGAGATCTACAAAAACTTAATCAAATATACAAGGACACTGGCCAGTAATCCAAATGAATGGTGGCTGCAACCACATGGAGAAAGCCGTTTGCCGTTTTCTAGAGGGTACTTGAAATAAAAAATGTCAAAGGGAAAAAGCTTTGGACTGGCATATTTTTCTAATACTGGCCCCTCCTACCC